TCGGGCTTCGCTTGCAATTATATTTCTAAAGTTGGAGGGTACACACTCCCACTTCGAGAGATCCTTGACTAAGGTCTAAGCAAAATAGGATGTGAACAACATGCAAACATACAAAAGATATAAACCTATGGGTTTCTATGAATTTCCTCACTTGGTGTAAAGAGGTAATTTCTTAAAGATATTTCAAGAATAAAAACTTTTAAAAGCACATCACCAACACTCTTCCAACGTGATATAAACAATAATGCACTCTCCAATGTCAAACACACTCCTCAATCAAGCACTATTCACTCAATTGAGCAATGAAAGAGCATTAAAGCACACAGTGCGTCATTTCCACACTTTAGAATGAACATCGTCCTCGATGTTACCTTGAGGACTAAGTGGAAAAATGAGCACGGGTCTAAACCAACTAAGGTTCCTTTCCAAACTTTATAAATGTTGTCGGGGAGTTGAGGTGCATAACAAAAATCCTCTGTGAATGATAAATGGCAAATTAAAGAATGTGCGTAAAACATTTCCACACTTTAGAATTAAAAACCGGGGGCAGCAAAGTGTAAAAGGGATAGAAATTGTCACCCATTGTAGAGAATTTTCCTTTTCATCTCGTGAGATATGTCCCATTATTCACTTTGCCCCATCATGACACACTACAAAAATGGTTAGTGGCATATGTGCATAATCATCACAATTAAAGAGTGCAATGGAGCAGGAAAACTACTCATAGTTATTTACACTCTATTCCTTTTCTCTTCTTTTTTCCTCTTTTTTTTTCTCTCTCTTTTGTGGTTTTGTATTGTTTTTGTGTGTTTTTTATTTCTTTAAGGTACTAACAAAAGAATATAACTAAAGAAAACAATAAGCAAGAAACTACTACAAAACATAAAATAAAACTAGACCCTCACATGCATTCTAGCAAATTGTAGAAGAAGCATAAAAATTAAAAGTGCATCAAAAGTAAATGACATGAAAATTAAAATTACTAAAAGTAAAATGCAAGCAATAATAGTTCATGAAAATAAAGGTGCAAAATATTGAAAGTGCAAACAATTAAAAACAAAAGCAAAAAAAATGAGAAAGCAATAGAAAGTGTGTTCATGCACAATTAAGTGTCATGATCATAGGAACCCAGGGAACTTTGAAATGTCAATTTTTTTTTGTGCTAGCTTCATGGTGAATCATTGCCCGCGAATGAAGGATGGAAGTGGTAAAGGAATTGAGCCTGGAGGTTCTCAAGTACTTGTCCCTACCGATTCAGCTGCACCCCATATTGATCAAGTTGCGCCCCAAATCTATCCAAACGCTCTCCATGGGCCCTTTGCATGGCCATTTGTTCTTGATGAAAATTGTATTGGAGAGCTCACATTGAAGCCCAAACATGGACTTGGGGGACATATTCCGGGATCCCGGAAATAGGTGGCAGTGGTGGGACCTATTCTTCCTCTACTCCTTCCGACTCCGTGGCGGCATCTGCTATTTTTGTCATCTTTGATTGTTCAAAACCCTCCACGGTCAAGGGATTCATGAAGGAAATCCTTTGCTCCAACCTCAACTTGCGTTGCAAACCCAAACCTTAGATCAACCTAGTAAGAATTGGCCCAACGAAGATGCTAGGACAAGAATCGTTACACTGAGTGCTTAGCTACTTCTGGACTTGAAATCCCATGTTAATGTTGATCCTCTTTTTCATGCTCCACAAGTGAAATAAATCCGCCTTGTACACCTTGTGGAGGTTGGTCATACTTCCCGTGAATGTGACCGCTAGAGCATGCCTTACCGCCTTCATCTTGGGTGGAACGATGACCCTTGAGTTGGTGTTGCTAGAATCAAATTCGGCCCCATCTGAAATTTCTTTCCAAAAATCCCTACATTCCTTATGGGTGTAGAATTTGGTGTGATACATCTCAAACGCCCTTGACGTGATCTCATCCTCCCTATGAGCTCCCAAATAATAACCTAGCTCATTCATCAATAGCTCATACTCCGTGTTGAAGGAGGTGAAGGACAAAGACTTCCTATCATGGTGATTTATCTTCTTGATATCAAGGGTGGCCATAAACTCGTATATCACCGGGGCGTATGTATTTCCTCTCAAGTTAAAGATTGTTGCCCATTGAGGATGAAGAATCAACTCCCCGACTTCATCACGGTAACCAAACGATTCTAGAATGGGGAAGTCAAAGTACTTTCCTCCAAAAACCCTCAATCGCTTCAACCTTTCCACCTTAACCAATTGCTTGGTGCTTAGCTTTAGCTTCCTAGATCCTGCTAGGGCATCTTGCTCTTCTTCCTCATTCTCCGTTAAATCCATTTCAATATCATCTTCCTCTGGTTGTTGACTTGAGCTCGCGATGTCGTGTTGTGCTTTCTTTGCACGCTCTTTGTGTCTTATCATGATTCCTACAAATCGTTAAATAAAGAATATAAATTTCCCCTAATTGCACACTTAAAACAAATTGGTATACTATATTCTCAAATAAAAGATCATGCAATCACATATCCCACACATGCATTCTTTTCTATGTGTTTTGAATTTTTCAAAGAATTTTCAAAACTTGGGCATGGTTTCCCCTATATTTTAAACAATTTCCGTCAAAAATTTTGACAATTTAGACCAACATTATAACAAATTCAACAAGTCAACACAATGAAAGTTCTAGCCTAAAAGTCAACTTCATATTCTTCACTCAACAATGGATGTTCAACATGTGGGTGTGTGCAATATTATGACATAAGAGTGGCATAGAAAGAAATTCATCATAAAACATCATGTATGTGACACCCCAAAAATCCACATTCAATCCATGGATTAATTGAGTAATTAATCCTATTTTATTTGAGGAAGTAATTCCTAAATTCCTGATTTTTAATACTCAAGGACTAGTATTTGACTAGTCAACCTTAAAGTTGTGTTGTACCTTGAGCTTTGAGGGGAGTTCCCTTGTTCCTTACACTTTCTAAAGGTTAGTAAGGGTATCCTTGACTTTTCACCAAGAGTTAGTATTGTAACCTAACCTAGAAGACTTCTTCATTTCATTCCTTACATTTCCTAGAAACTAGCTCTACCTTCTCTCTAGAAAAGAAGTGTAGCTTATTCTCCAAGCTAAATTGAGACCCTTGTTAAGATTCCAAGATTTGCTACCAAGATTCAACCTTTCACCTATTTGGGCATCTAGGAGGGTAAGATCTAAGTCCATCTTGTGTTTTTGGTTTCATCTTAGTTGTCTTTTTCTTAAAGGTAGGATCTTTATGATCTTTTGGTTTAATCTTGAAGTGGGTTTGGAAAGTAAGCCTTGTGGGGAGCTTGTTGTGGTGTAAAGTGAAGTCTTTTGGTCTACAAGAGGTAACCCATGCTCTACAAAACCTATTTTGCTTACCTATATGTAATTTCTTGGATTCTACATGTGTTTTGCTATGAAATGTGAGGGTTTATGCATTTGTCTTGTGATATTGCATATCTAGAGCTTGTGTTTAGGGTTCCTTTGTGCTATTGCTTGGCATTTTCCATGGTTCAAGTCATTTTGTTGTGTTGGGTGAGATTTGGCATGTTTTGGACTTGAATTTGTGTTTGGAGAAGAAAATCCCCAAAGGGATTTGTTGTGGTACAAGTGTGTACCCGCGGGCGGAACGGCGGGCGGGGCACCACCCGCCGGCCTACCCGCGGGTACATGGCCTTGTGGGATGACGTTCCCGCGGGCGGGACCACGGGTGGGGCACTACCCGTGGGTCCACCCGCGTGTACATGGTTGGTGTTGTGACGGGATTTGTTCCCCGTGATTCGTTTGACTCGGTATTTGGTCTTTTGACTTCCCGATGTTCTTTGTGGAACTATTTGAGCGTCTTCTTGATGTTTCGTATGTCTAGAACTATATGGTAGGTATCCATGTAGGACTTTGGTGTCTTGAATCGTGCTAAGTGTTCAACATTGTGTTTCGTTGGACCAAGAGGTGTCTTGTGTGTTCCTCGAAACTATCTTGAGTTTCTCCGTTGTTAAGCATGCTAGTTTATTGTCTTAATGCTAGCGTGTCTGTGGTTTGTACCTTCGGTTTGGTTGATGATAACTTGCGTTATCCACCGTTGATGTTGTTGGGCTGTGACCCGTTCCTTGATTGAGTATGTTTCATATCTTCGTTGTGATCCGTTGATTGATTCCTGTTGTGGTGTGATGCGTGTGTGGCTTTACCTGGATTGCACGATTAGTGGTATGGGACACTAGTCACCAAGGTATTGCAGCGGTCCTCGTGGTGGCCGTGACGTGATTATGGAGTTGTGGCCTTTGTGTAAGGTTCACGTTTTGGGGGATAACATGTGTTATCCGGGCTTGTGTTGCCGTTTACGGTACCTTGTGTACTATGAATTGGTGGTCTCGTTGGTGGTCGTTGGTGGGGGACGACGGTCCCGGGGGAATAAGGTTGGACTTGGTTGTACAGGGGTTGTGGAGGTAATGGTTGGAAGAAGATATAAGGTTGGGGGTAGCCATAAGGTTGGAACAGGGCATAAGGAAGGCATATCAACTCGTGATGGGTGATGTCACGAGGGCTTGTGTAGCCGTTGTTGTGAGTTCTCTTTCTTGTGACGTGTGTAGTCACAAGGGCATGTGTTGCCATCGGTCTTGTCTTTATCCTTTGTGTTGTGGTTAACCTTTGTGGGTTGGGATGTTTTCCCGTGTTATCTTTGAGAGTGTTGAGTCTTATGTTGGCTGTTGATCTTGGCTTTTGACTTATATACTTATGTATTCCGTTTCGAAAATGGCTTTACAACTTATATCTATCTATGTATGATATTTCACATGTATTGGTGGGTTACCAGCATTATTCGCTGACTGGGCGTCGTCCCAATGTTTATCTTTGTATCTTTCAGGTGATGTCTAGACGAGCGCGATGTTAGTGGCCGGTAGTCTAGCATCTTTACCTTTGTTTTGTGGCCTGTGTGCTGTTGTAGCGTTAGATTGTGACCTTTTGGGATAGATGTATACACTTGCAGATTGATCTCCGTAGCGTTTACCGTGTTTGGTAGACGTGGCGTAACACCCCGTTTGGATTTCTTTTATCCAGTTCTCGTTTTATCTTCCGATGTGCTAGTTTTGCTGTATGATCTGCATGTGTTAAGGCTTTTTATCTAGCTTGTTTGGGGTGTGGTGCAATGTAGCACAATTAACATTGCAATTCCATCATCAATTTTGCATTATCAAAGAGAACTCAACAAACCCATTCAAAAATTCCCAAATTAAAAACTAGGGTTCATACAAGAAATTCATACTCTCAATTCAATGCTTTAATCCACAATTTCCACAAACACAATGTTTGCTCATGCTAATCTAGTCATTATTCATCAATTGCAAACATCAATATGTATAGAACAATGTAGATTAGAATTTCACATTCAAGAGAGTGAAAACTTGGAAAATACATTTATGGAATTTTGAAGTTTAGAGTGTTTACCTCTTTTCTTATGATTCTAGGAAAAATTTGGAGATTGGAAACTTGTAACTATGGAGGAAATAACAAAGCAAAGTGTACCTTTATAGCCCGTTTGGTTCACGGAATAGGCCGGGAATGGCATAGCATTCCCAGTAATGGGCATATTCCTTTGTTTGGTAACCATTTCTATTACTAGAAATAATATTCCTAGTAATAGCCTATTATATCAAATAAGGTAATAGCTATACCAGGCCCCATTGGTATTAGCCTATTACTGAACGCTCAGGAATAAATATTATAATCTATTTTCTTTTTTACCCTTTCTTTAACCTAATTTTTTACGTTAATCTTTCTCCCGCTTACTCGCATCTTCTCTCGCCATTGCTCATCGCTTCTTCTGTGGCCATTGCTAATCAACATCAAATTGAAATTCATCATCAAGGTATTCTTCTAAATTTCTTTTATAAATAATATATATATATATATATATATATATATATATATATATATATATATATATATATATATATATATATACTGCTCACACAGCAGTGTATATACTATATGGAAATATATATATACAATGCTGACGCAACAGTGTATATATAAATTTATATACATTGCTGCGTAGTAGTGTATATAAATATATGTATACATTGCTCCGTGAGCGGTGTATACGTATATTTTATTAAGGATATTTTTTTTTTCGATGGCTTCTACTACCACCAATGAAATCATCCAACTCAATGCTCCCACACACTTTTCCATTAAACTCACTACCATCAATTTCCCAGTTTGGCGCCTACAAGTTCATGCTACCCTTGTTAGTCTCAACCTCTTAGGCTATATTGACGGTTCCACCAAGGAACCCACCGAATACACGGATCCTGCTCGAACCGTTCCCAACCCAAGACATTTAACTTGGTACCGTCAGGACCAAATCATTGTTGGTGCACTTTTGGGCAGCTGCACTGACACAATACAGCCACTCGTTTCATCTGCTACGACAGCTCATGATTCATGGCAACGTCTGGTTGCCAGTTATGCCAGTGCCTCTAGAGGACGCATCATTTCCCTCAAGGCAAAACTCACTAAAAACCCGAGAGGTTCTCGGTCCATCGCTACTTACCTCCATGACATGCGAGCCATAGCCGATGATCTGGCGTTGACTCAGTGTCCTGTCTCTGATGACGATCTAATCGTCTACATATTGACTCAGTTGGGGGAGGATTACAATTCTATCATATCTGTTATTCGCATCCGTGAAAAGCCTATGTCCTTTGGCGAGTTAGCAGAAGTGCTGACTGACCATGAACGCCAATTGAAGGGTGTGGATGAATTGAATCAGTCTTTAGTGGCCTCTGCCAATGTTATGCAACGTGCCTTGCCACCCTCGCGGCACAACCAGCACATCAATTCCAACCGATGAGCTCGCAGCAATAACACTCGTTACAGCTCCAACAGACAGAATTGGCGACAAGGAGATCCCAAACGCTCAAGTACGGTCTGTAAGTTCTGTCATCTTACAAGTCATGAAATAAGAGTGTGCCGTAAGCTAGCCAGGTTTTTAAAGGAGCATAATGTTCCTCTTGTGCAACCTCCTATGTCTCCTATGGCTAATTCGGTGGTCGGGCCGTCTGCTTCCTGGATCTTTGATATTGGTGCGTCCCACCATGCCACACCAAGCATTGATCCATTGCACACTTTCTCCGAGTACAGTGGACCGGATGAAATCCGCTTGGGCGACGGTAATTCCTAAGCAATAACGCATGTTGGTTAGTCTAGCATTCCCACTCCCTCTACTGTTCTCACTCTTGATAATGTCTTGCGTGTCCCATGGTTACACACTAGCTTAGTTTCTATATCCCAAATATGCAAGTCTAATCGTGTGTCTGTTGAATTCTTTGATTCACATTTTCTTGTCAAGGATCTTCGAACGGGGGTTCCTTTGTTACGGGGGGCGAACAGTAATGGTGTCTACTATGGACCAGTTTCTCCTCGTCCAACAGTTCATGTTACGCAGGTGTCTCGTTTATCTCAGTGGCACTAGCAACTTGGCCACCCGTATAATAAGGTGTTGCAACTTGTGTTGCAACGCTGTAATGTTCCAGTCTCTATGTCATCTCTGTGACAGTTTTACTGTTCTTCATGTAATATGCATAAAAGCCATAAACGGCCTTTCTCCAACACTACACTTGTTAACACCAAACCTCTGCAATTAATCTATATTGATGTGTGGGGGCCTACTGAGAAATCTGTTGATGAGTTTTGCTATTATGTTATTCTTGTGGACCACTTCTCGGAATATATCTGGTCGTATCCCATGAAACGTAAGTCTGATGTCTTTCCCATATTTAAGTAGTTAAAACAGTTAGTGGAGAAATACGTTGGTCTTTCAATTATTTCTCTTTACTCGGATAATGGGGGAGAGTTTATAAAACTTATCCCATTCTTGAACACTCATGGTATTTCTCATCTCACCACTCCACCGCACACTCCTGAGCATAATGGTGTCGCAGAGCGACGACATAGGCATGTCGTGGAAACTGGCATGTCTCTTCTTCACTTCGCGTCTTTGCTGCCCTCATACTGGACCTATGCCTTTCAGACAGCCGTATATCTCATTAATCGGCTTCCTACTCCGATTTTAGGTAATCAATCCCCGTTTTATGTCTTGTTTCAACAATTGCTAATTATGCCAAGTTACAACCCTTTGGTTGCCTATGTTTTCCCTGGTTGCGTCCCTATAACACCAAGAAACTACAACCAAAGTCACGTCCATATATTTTTCTTGGATACTCGAACACCCAATCTGGTTATAAATGTCTAGATTTTAGTTCGAATCGTATTTATGTAACTCGGCATATTAGATTTGTGCCCCATGTGTTTCCTTATAACGATTTGCTAAAGTCATCTAACAGTTTACCTTCTGATTCTCATGATTCAGAATCACGCAGTATTTTGTGCAAGTCGTCTCCTTTGTCTACACAGGTACAGCCCGTGGCAGTTCCAACACCAGTTCCAACACCAGTTCCAACTCCAATTCCAACTCCAATTACAAGTCCAGTTCCAACACCATCACCGTCAGCTGCGTCCAATTCATCGTCTCCCACTGTCTCAGAAAATGGCCAACATGCAGCCCAATCCGTGTCTGACTCACAACATGTCTCCACCTCTGAAACATATCAACCGTTGGGTAATGTTCTCTGTTCCACCCGGGAGCGTCGTCCTAATCCTAGGTATTCCGATTATGTCATTAACCAAGCCACTTCCCATCCATTGCCTCCTGCTTTAGAACCGCCTACCGTCGCCCAGGCTCTTAAAGACGCTCGGTGGAGGAAAGCAATGGATGAGGAGTTCAAAGCGCTGCAACGTAACAACACGTGGCAACTGGTTCCCCGCGGAGCGGTCGTTCCGATTGGCTGCAAATGGGTCTTCCGTGTTAAGCGCAAATCGGATGGGTCGGTGGATCGTTTTAAAGCACCGCTTGTCGCTAAGGGATTCTTGCAGGCTGCTGGTCAGGATTATTTTGAGACATATAGTCCGGTTATGAAACCGGTCACAGTCCGTATTGTTTTTACCATTGCTTTGAGTAATAGCTTGGGTCTGCGCCAGCTAGATATCAATAATGTGTTCCTTAATGGAACATTGCATGAGGATGTGTTTATGGAACAGCCGCCAGGGTTTTTCGATCCCTCATTCCCAACGCATGTTTGCAAACTGACTAAAGCCTTATATGGTCTCAAGCAGGCTCTTAGGGCTTGGTACTTGGAGTTTTCCCAGTTTTTGTTGCGCTGTGGATTTTTGAAATCACAAGCAGATGCGTCGTTATGTATTTATTCTACTAATAATGTTATTATCTATTTTCTTGTGTATGTGGGCGACATTATATTAATAGGAAACGATGCTGCATGGCTTGACAAGTTTGTTAGAACTCTGTCCGCTCGGTTTGCTCTTAAAGACCTTGGTTCCTTACATCACTTTCTAGGTGTTGAGGTGGTTTCCATTCCTAATGGCATGTTCATGTCTCAGAGTCAATATATAACAAACATATTGGTGCGATTTAAGATGGATGGTGCAAAGGCTGTTTCAACACCACTGGCGACCAAGGATAAGTTGCTCCCGGCGCAAGCTGGTAGCGTTGCGGTAGATGTGACTCAGTTTTGGCATCTACTTGGCCTGCTACAATACTTGGTCATCACTAGACCTGACGTCGCCTATGTAGTTAACCGTCTCTCACAGTTCATGCATATGCCTACGGAGGTGCACTGGCAGGCTGCCAAGCGATTGTTGCGCTACCTCAAGGGTACAGTATGTCATGGGCTGTACCTTTGTGCTGGGTAACCTCTGTCTCTGAGTGTATATACAGATCCTGACTGGGGTGGTTGCACCTCCACTGGGCGGTCCACTACAGCTTATCTACTGTATCTTGGGTCCAATCTTGTTTCCTGGAAGTCCGTTCGTCAGAAGTTGGTTTCCCGCTCGTCTACGGAAGCCGAGTATCGAGCCTTAGCAAATGCCACTGCAGAGGTTTTGTGGGTTAAGAATTTGTTGCATGAGCTCCAGACGCGACTGTTGAAGCCTCCGGTTCTGCTTTGTGACAATCTCAGAGCTACGTACGTGTGTAGAAATCCGGTGTTTCATTCACGCATGAAGCACCTCGCACTTGATTATTTTTTTGTTCCGGACTTGGTTGCTAATGGTTCGTTGGTGGTTTGGCACATTTCTTCGTCGGCTCAGTTCGCTGATTTTCTCACCAAGCCGTTAGACCGTTCGTTGTTTTTGCTTTTCCGTTCCAAGATTGGAGTCTTCGATGGATCCTCTATCTTGCGGAGGCGTATTAAGGATACTTGTGACTGATACATTTTGTCTCTATTTAGTTTTAATTATTCTCCTTTAGAATAGCAGTATTAAACTGGTGGTTACAACTTCCTACTAACCACCTGCTAGCTTCTCTCCTTGGTATGTTATTTATAGCTTGTTGTTTGTGTCAATTAAATCAATACAGTTCATAATCTTATATATTTATATACACTACTGCACGACAGTGTATACAAATTTATATATACACTGCTCACGTAGCAGTGTATATAAATATATATATATATATATATATATATATATATATATATATACACTGCTGCGTGAGCAGTGTATATATTTGTATATATACGCTGCAGCATTTTGTATATATATTTATATGTTTTATGTTCTATATTTTTGTAATTTGTATGTATTGTTGTTTTATATTGTTTATTATAATCTGTATTTGAATATATGTGTTTTTAATAGACGTAAGAGTTATTGTTATAGTTTTGATTACTGTAAGTTTTAAATTTAATTTGCAGTTTTGGCTCGATTGTGATTAATAATCCGTGCTGAAAGAAGAAAAAGATGTGTAGCTGTGTTGCATGTATGGTTGGATATGTGTGCTTCTGTGAGTTTATTGTTTATAATGCTGATGTCTACGTTGACAATTTTGTGTTCTAATAAAAAATGAGTGAAATCTTATATTATTAATACTTTTGGGTCTCGAGAATATATGTTACGAGCGGTGTATTCGTGTGATGAAAAATGCATATTTCAACTTAAGATGAATCGACATGCTTTTGTGAAGTTGTGTGCAATGTTACAAACTATAGGAGGGTTAAGGCCAACAAGAAATATGCTTGTTGATGAGCAAGTAGCAATATTTTTACATATTATTGCTCATCACGTAAAAAATAGGATCATTCAAAACAATTTTCAAAGGTTAGGGGAAACTATTAGTCGATACTTTAATATAGTATTAAATGCTGCTTTGAAACTCCGAAATCATTTTTTTAAAGATCCTGAACCAGTTCCAGCTACCTCTACAGATCATAGATGGAAATGGTTTAAGGTAGTTAAACATATCCCCTACACTTGAGTTCTAAATTTAATTACAATGTGAATATATATTTAATAATATTTGATATTATTTCTAGAATTGTCTAGGCGCTTTAGATGGAACTTTCATGCATATTCATTGATGTTTGATTTTGTGATTTGGTATTTTTTGTAATGTGGTTTATGAAAAATGTAATGTGTTTGAGTTTGATTAATAATTTATTATTTCAATTTATTTGCAGTTAAGAATGACTTCTCCCCCTACATCTGCAACCATTGGCTCTCAAAGTGTTAAGCAAACAAAAAGAAAGTGGACACCCGAAGAAGACATTATATTAGTGTCCTGTTTGACCGAAATGCATAATGTAGGAAAATATAATTCTGATACAGGGTTTAAGACAGGTTATTTATTAGAACTTGAAAAAATAATTTTGGAGAAAATACCAAATTGTACCATAAAAGCTAAGCCACATATTTAGAGTAGAATTAAAACTTTGAAAAAAGAATGAAGTATTATTCATGATATGGTGCAACGTAAGAACACTAGTGAGTTCGGTTGGAATGAGCAAAAGCACATGGTGTATGCTGAAGATGCAATTTGAGAATCATAGTTAATTGTAAGTGTTTACCTTTTTTTTTTTTTTTGTACTTTCATTTATTTTTATTAATGTATACATACAAATAATTTATTTATGTTTGTTATAGAGTCACAAAGAAGCTGCACCTTTTAGAACAAGAAGCTTTAGGTTTTATAATGAGTTATCTGCAATATATTCTAAAGATCGTGCAACTGGAAAAGATGCATAGACAGCAGATGACGTAGTTGAAGAAATACACGCTAAAGAATAGAATGATATAAGAGCTTACACGGAAGATAGTGCATTTGTTGTTTTGGATGATATTGATTTAACGAGTACACAACCTGAGCCACAAAATGATGGTAGAAAAAGAAGCAATTCAAGTAAGAGAAAGAGAAGTCATGATGAAGCTATTGAGATATGTGTTGAGAATATGCTTAATGCTGCGAAGTTAATAAGCAATACAATGTCAGATGTTGGTAAAAATTTGTCCAATGGTCTTCAATATGATCGTGATATGGATATGTTTCAGAAGCTTGAACGTGCATTAAAAGAGGTTGATGGTTTGACAAATGAAGAAATGGACCTTGTTTCGTTTAAACTCACTGATCATCCTAATAAAGTAGAATTTTTTCTCAGTCTTGATCCTGATCGAAAACCACAGTGAATCAGAAGATTCCTTGCTATCAATTAAACATTCTTCTTCATGGTTATATTTTATGAACACTTTAACTTTCATTGGATTTTTTGAGTAATTTGTTAAAAATAACATATGTGATGCTTCTTCTGAATATTGTTAAATATTGTTTATAAAATTTTGTTATTTATATGACTATTTTGTTTCATAATTTACATATCATTATTTTAATATTACTGATAAGGAATAATGGTGATATTTTGATGACCAGGAAGTTGACTTGATATGATCATGATAATATATTAATTACTAGTTGATTATGGAATGATGATTAATTGATGCATAATAATAATAATAATAATAATAATAATAATAATAATAATAATAATAATAATGATAATATTATTATTATTATTATTATTATTATTATTATTATTATTATTATTTGTACAAGGGCATTTATGTTTTTTAAACATATATTCTATTCCTATTCATTAACCAACCAAACATTGGAATACAGTTCCCAATGTCTATCCCTTCAGCGAACAAAACAATAGAATACAATTCCTGTTCTATTCCTTACCTATTCTATTCCCTATGGAATAGCATTCCTATTCCCTCCAAATTTATTCCGTGAACCAAACGGGCCATTAGTGGGAGAGAAAAGTGTTTCGTGTGGGGGCTGAAGAGTGGGGAAGATGGGGTTTTATTTCGTGCTGCTCCCGCGTAGGGTTTATTGGGCATCCCACGCATCGCTCCACGCACGTGGCCGATGGCGTGGATGTCTCTGCTTGCGATCCACGCACGTGGGCGCTGGCGTTGATCTTTCTGCTTGGGATCCACGAACTCTCCCACGCACATGGGTTAGTTCGTTGATCTTTGTGTTTTCTATCCACGAAGCTTCCCACGACGTGGTTTGCTCCTTGTTTGCATAGAAACCATTGTTTCCAATCCACGCATAGCCCCACACACATGGATGGGTGCGTGGATTGGAGGCAGTGAGCTCCCCTGATTTTTGCTCAACTCTTCTCACCTTCTCCTTTATCCTTTGACGTATTTTGGTCATTTTCTCACATGGTTTTTCAACAATAATACCTGAAAGATTAGTTCCCTAGGTACTAAACAAAAATACAAGCAATAGATCACACTAACTATGCAATTATTCAATCAACAATCAAAACAAAATAAACAAAAAGTAAAACTTGGGTTGCCTTCCAAGAAGTGTCACTTTTAAGGTCCTTGACTAGACCTACCTTCCTCCTTTCAAGGTCCTTGACTAGACCAATTTTTCTACTTACGCTTTTTGCGCATTGAATGTAATAATTGTAATACTTTTGAGATTATTAATAAATGTTTTTTTTTTTTAGTGTGGGTTGCATATTGTTTTAAATTTCCAGTACTTAAATTCCTTAGGATAAATTTTTTCAAACTCAATTATGGGTTGAATTGTAATGGAAAAATCAAATCAAGTTTAAAAACAGCTTTATAATTTGGGTATAGGTTTTGGCATCATCACAAAAGGGGAAATTGTTAGGAACACTTGTAATTTAGATTTTGATGATACCAAAAGTTAGGAATTTTAGTCCTCTATTTATTTTATCTTTTAGACTTATGTCATTTCTGCTTAAATTTGAATAGTCCGAATAGTAACTCGAGAAGTCACGATTCGGATAGACAAAACAATCTGAATGATAACTCGAAAGGTTATGTTTCAGATAGTCTCAACAAAAGTTTGAATAGTACAGTAACTCGAATGGTTACCTTTCGAATAGCTTGAAGATGAAAACCTCGAGAGTTGAAGACTTGAAGACTTTGAGAAGAGGATTTGAAGAGTAAGAGATTGCAAGACCAAAATGTTGCAAAGGCCGAATGATGGAAGGGCCTACCTTTCGAAGTAAAAGGTGGAACAAATGGCAAGGTCAACCATTTGTATCCAAAAAGTTGTAGAGTGTTAAGGTTCGAAACGTTAACTCGAATAGTAACAGTTAACCACAGAACGAATTGCTCGAGACATTTTCTAAGCCAACAGTTCGAAACCTTAAAATTTAAATTACTAGTGCTTTATGGTAGTATGTGACCAAGGCAAAGAGAGTCCTAGGTTCACATACCAAAGATGATTTTTCTTAAAAAGCCTAGACATTTCGTGCAGAACAAAAAGATATGTTCAACGCAAAATATAAGTCTTTAACGGCTAGGAAGTTTGACAAGTCTACCTAACTTCCTGATTACCGGCTGGTCTTTACACGCTGGTTAATAGATGTTTGAAATGGGTTTCCCTCCAACGAACAAATTTCTAAAATTCCTATAAATACCTTCTTCTAAGGCTGAAGAAGGTGTTGGTCTATTTAAAATTTTGTAAGTGTTCAAAGCGTGAAAAAACAAACAATCAAGCAAGACCAGTGCGAGAGAAAACTCAAAATTCATATCCAGTTTGAAGAGACTTGTGCTGTGAAGAAAGCTCATATCCAGATTCAACCAAGCCAAGCTCTTAGTTGGAGATTGAAAAATCATTTTCTTCAACCCCTTTATATCTCTAGACGGTAGAAGTAGAAAGAAGCGGGGTAAACTCGGTTGAGTTGAAAAACCTGTGGAGTTCAAGGCCGGCTTTGTGTTTAAGGCTTGAACGTCTTTATTGTACTAAAGGAACAGTGCATTCCTCCCTAAGCATTTTAAGGAGAAGAGCGAAATAGGCTAAGTTAGCCGAACCACTATAAAAATCTCTCTCTCTATTTATTTACATTACTACTTTTACATACTGCATAACATTCACGCAAACTCAACTTTTCAAGAACAAATACATGTAAACAAACTAATAGGGGTATAATATATTTCCGCTGCATAAAACTCTTGAATCGTTGAAGTAGCAAAAAAGTAACCCTTCGGAACCTCTTCAACTGAATCATTGATTATTTTCAAAAATCTGTACGAGTCTATTCACCCCCCCTCCCCTCCCCTCCCCTCCTTTAGACTTGTAACCCTTACCCACCGGGACCAACACTCAATAGGAATTTTGCCCTTGCCCTTGTCTTACCATCCACTCTGTTGTCCTTCCCCATATCCACAGAATCAGACGACAGACTATCAGAATGATCAGCCATCGTGGGTGTACGATCCTCTGCATCTGTCATCTCTACTTCCCTCGTACCAGTCTGAGTCTGAGCACCACATACGCTGTCATTGGAAATGAGCCATTGAGAGCCCATTGCTGGACCTGGCCGCCAGCCGGAAGCCCTAAGCCAGTTCCCAAAGGGTCTCACCATGTCATTGTCAACTCCCTCAAACATCCTCGAGCAATATTTCTCAGTGTGCCTCGGCACTCCACATAGGAAGCAGAAGTTAGGCAGTTGATCATACTTAAACTCGACCCAGAAGCTATCCCCCCCCCCCCCCCCCCCCCTTCTCGCTTCATTTTCATTCTTCTCCGAAGTGGCTTAGTCATATCTATCGATACACGAACCCTGAGGAATGATTTCCAAAAACCATCAAAAATTTTCTTATCCACTTTGACAAAATCTCCGACGAAACTCCCAATATGCTTAGAAATATTTTCAGTGAAGAAGCCAAAGGGAAGCTTATGCACTTGGATCCGAAATTTGCTTTGTTGAGTGTGACCTCAAATGGAGATGTTTTCGGATTAAGACATTGTAGCACTAGTAGACTTTGCTCAAATGCCCAAGGACCATTCTCAAGTATCCTCTTAATGTCCACCTCATGGAAAAGTTGAAACAAGAATAAGTTTAGCGTAGATTCTTTGATGTCGATGCCTTTTCCCGGCGTCCATATGCCAACCATGTATCTCTCAGCATAGTGAACTTGATAGGTTTATTAGTAAGCAATTTCCCCACCAGAACAAACTGATAGTTATTGTCGACATTCTGTATCTCTCCTTCCCCAACGGATATGCCTTCATCTTCTTCGTCAAACAAAGAGAGTAGAGCACAAGATTCCTCCATAGATTTTGAGCGGTAGGCTGCCATCCTAGGAAACCAGAAAACACACTACAAAGAGGAGAAAATCGAAAGGAACCAAGCAAATTTGAAATACTTCAATACAATCTTAGATTACTCAAAAAAAAAAAAAAAAAAGAATAGAGATAATAAGATTATCTTAAAATAGAGCAACTACCCAAAATAGTCCTTCGACTATAGCTAAATTCACAAATTGGTCCTCAACTTTCAATTTCAACCAATTAAGTCCTTAACTTTGCAATTTTGACACGATTTAGTCCTCCATCTATTTGACCGTTTGTTGACCGTGATCGACGATCTCCAGAAGAACCTTCAGCTCTCGTCGGAGCACGTGGAGGCCTCCAGGATGACGTTGCACCGGTTCGAAAATACGTCGTCTTTTTCGCTCTGGTACGAACTCAACTACATTGAATCCAAAGGGAGGATGAAGAAAGGCGATCGGATTTGGTAGATTGCTTTCGGCAGTGGATTCAAATGTAACAGTGCGGTCTGAAAATGCAACCGGAACCTTAAAAAACCGACGATGGACCATGAAATTACATATATATATCCTCAAAAATCACAGTCAACAAACGGTAAAATAAAAAGAGGACCAAATTGTGTTAAAATTACAAAGTTAAGGACTTAATTGGTTAAAATTGAAAGTCGAGGACCGATTTGTAAATTTAGATATAGTCGAGGGACCATTTTAAGTATTTACTCCTTAAAATATTATCACCACATCAATTTTGATGTAATATAAGATAATTCCATAACTTAAAATCAAGTATGATAATATAATATTATCATATGACATTATCTAGATAATTTTATATTATCCGAACTAAATACCCCAAAGAGTAGTCTTATCATTTTGGAATATTGTGACAGGAGATGTACGTGCAATTTATGTTTGGTACGTTTGCCAGCAGCAATGAAGACACTTTGGAGGTCCAGCTTTCATTCCTCCAGCTGTAACTTTACTGTAATCCTATTTTCATTTCCTTCATCCACAATGACGCTATCGCGCATTTACCAACGTATTCGTACACTATTTCACATCCGGAGGACTGCACTTTTTTTATCTTTCCACTTCGATCTGCAACTTGTAACTCCGTACTTAAGAAGTACTCCGTATACTTAAGTCATGTTGGCGAGTGGACTGTACGTGAATAGATAAAACCATATTCTTAAAAAAAATAATACTCCCTTCATAACATTTTTTTTTTTTTGTTTGGTTTGATTAACGAGGTTTAACTAAAGTCATTTTTAATCTAATTTTTATAATATTAAGTTTAGTTTTAGTATACAAAATTTATATATTTAGAAACTACACTAAAAGTACTATTAAACACAACAACTTAAATTTTAAAATAAGTAAAGAGTACTAAAGAAAATAAACAAAGAAAAAAGAGTTGGTCTGACCAATGAATAGTAAGTAGGACATATAAAATGAGATAGATGGAGTATAAATTTGTGGACTTTTGATATACAATTATAAGATTAAAGGTTCGATGTTCGTAGGCAAATTATATTGTAGACTGACATCCACATTGTAAAATATATCATGAATAAATATTCATTTTAATATATTAAAAGTAAAATATTTGTGTATTAAAGGTTCATTATTTGATAGTAGTACTTAAATAATGTACCTTAAAAAAATATGTATTAAAAATGTATATTTAATATAGAGAAAATTGCATTTTTCGTCCCTAAATTATACGATAGTTGTAGTATTCGTCCTTAATTGTTGGTTATGCTCACTTTTCATCCCTAATTTATTATTAACGTTACACTTTTCGTCCCTTTGCTAACAAAACATTACGGACGAAATTTGCAACTTTAGTATAGCTTAGGACGAAAAGTGAACACGAAAAATTACTAAAATGACAAAAAATGCAACGTCAATGATAGCTTAGGAGCAAAAAGTAAGCACGATCAACACTTAGAGATGAATTTTACAATTTCCTATAACTTAGGGAAAAAAAAAGGTGTAATTTTTCTTTTAATATATTCATGATGTACCTTAGGTTAATGGTCCATCTTACAATATCAACCATGGTTGATATATAGTATAATGATTGATGTTTGTAAAGAGAATACGAACATGCTATTATGAGTTTGAGTCAGATTTTATTTTCTCTTAATCTCTATGAGCACGTCCTAAATCAAATACGGATTAATCTCACCGTTGTAAGAGTATCAGATGTTGTGTATACTTATTCTCATTTAACCAAGTTTTATATTTTGAGAATCACACTATCACATATAGGATGAATTTTGTTTAATCCCAAATAGGTAGAATTTTTTTTAATCACTATACAATTTATTACAGTTTGTTTTTCCAAAATTTTGACAAAAATAAAATTGTTTGAAAAGTAGATAGAAATTTCCATCGAATATAGAAGAGAAAACTTCAAAAACAAAATTATTGATTGTTTTTTTGGGTGACAATTTTAATTTTTCAATCGCTTTTCCGTCCACCTACGCACCCTAGGTAAACGTAAATTCGGAATTTAAGGCAGGCAAATTTTGGTAGATAAGTTTTAAAATTTTGGTTTTTTTTTTTAATTTAATATAGAAAAAATGGTCAAATAGACACTCGAACTTTACCTGGAAAGTCAATTATATTCTTAAACTTTTTAAAAGTACAATTATACCCATTAATAATTTATTTTGATGCAATGAAGCACAAAAACTATTAGTGACCTGCTACCACAGGTCACTAGGGTTCCGTCAACCCGCCAGCGACATTTCAGACAACAAATTGACCGGCGACCGTTCGCCGGTTGTTGGTTACTTTGTTGTCTTAAATGTCGTCGGAATGACGTCGACGGGTTGCCAGAATCCTAGTAACTTGTGATAGGAGATCATTAATTGATTTTTGGACTTTATTACATCAAAATAAATTTTTGATGGGTTTAGTTGCACTTTTAAAAAATATTGGGACTTCATAGATTTTTAAGGTAAATTTTAAAGGTGTATTTGACACTTTTTATTTTATATATATAGAAGGAAGAAAGAAATGAATGAAGAGAAGAAAGCGAAGGTAAAAAAAAAAAAAAAAAAGGGGGGGGGGGGGGGGGGGGGGGGGGTTGGAGGGGACTCCCATGGAGAAGTAGAGAAGAAAAGTTCTGCTAAAGTTTTGTTTCAATCACTGTATTTTTGTTTGTTTGTGATCAGGGACGGAGCCAGGATGGAATAGTGCGGGGGGCCAACTACGATTGAAGTACTAAATCAAATACATTGATATCCCGTTAACATATCTCAAAATAATCATTACATTACAAATTCAATAAAGTTTAAAATAAATCATTTATAATTGAATTTATATTAAATTATTTTGCAATATGCTTTGTACGGTTGAAAGAATGAAAACATTCACGCATGTTTTAAAGGACTATTGATTATTTCTTGAAAAACACTCTTCACAACATAACATAATAGCAATTGTTTTATCAAATACATATACCACACAATTGTTACATTATTATGCATTTTAAATTAAATACAAAATTTATCACACAACCACAAATTTACATAATTAGCCAAACAAATGCACCTTGATATCCATGATTTAGAATCAAACAAAACAATTATTTAAGATAAGCAATAGAATATGAAACAAAAATTAACCAAACAAGTAGTTAGAAACAAAAATAAACAAAAATTTACTTGAAAATATGCATGGATTTTTTTAATGACAAATTATCTTATTATAACGTATATGTTGCATATATGCATGGTTTTAGAGGGAGAAACTAGTACGTAGGTTATTAAGGTTTAATTTGAATGTGAGTCAACAATATAAGGAATACATAATTTGAAATAGGAGATAACTGAAAAAATTGAGAAGATGAAGAAATTTATAACTTAACCTGTAAGATTAATTAAGTGGAGGGGGGGCCAAATATTTTGAAAAAATAACAAAATTTTAAAATTCTATATAGTATTTTTTTAAAAAATTTAATACATATATAATATTAAAAAATTTTGGAATGGGGGAGGGGGGCCAAGGCCCCCCTAAGCATCCACTTGCGTCCGTCCCTGTTTGTGATATTTATTATTTTTTGTTTGAGTATTATATTCTAAACACGTCTATGTATATTATATTCTCAACACGTCTATTCATGTGTGCAGACCGATTACTTTTGAGGGGCTCCAAGTAACACGTGGATTATAGTCTCTTTTATTTTTATTTTTATTGGGTGACGTGAAAATTCAAACTTTTTCAAACTTATGATATTTGGCATGACTCTGATACTAAATGAAGCATGTGGTCCAGCTCAACTAAAAGCCTAAGCTAATAATTGGATTGTACATTTATTTATATTATATCCTCAACAATGAGGAATCCACTATTCAAAGATGTATACTGAATAAACTCTATCTTGTGACAATAGCCAGCAAAAGATCACAATGAAATAAATTAATTTAAGTTCATCATAAATAACCGGGTCAAACTAAAAAAGTTAGTAAGGTGCTCCTATTAGCACTTGAACTTGAAACCTCATAATTATCAAACTTAACAAACTTAGGGTGTGTTTGGTTGGTGGGTTTTGTTCATAGGAATGGGTATGAAAGTGATTGTTATTGTTTGGTTGATAGGTTTTTAGAACACTACTATAGGTTTCGAATATCTCATCCTTTGAAAACCTTTGAAAAATCAATACCCAAATAAAATAAGGTTTCATTCCCTTATTTATTCTCAAACACTACTATTAGTAACCATTCCCATTACACCCTACTACCAAACATGTTAAATACTTTCACCAAAACCATCACCATTACAGAATATTTGATACCCATTCCAATTTCAATTCCTATGTGCGAACCAAACACACCCTTAGTTACCTCTCTAATTCAAAACACCAAATTTTATTGTTTTTACACCAAAAACAATATTCCTAGCATATATTCTTACACTAAAAAAATTTCAATTTCTTCCACCTAGAAGTCTTTTTTATTTATTTTTTTAATTACTTCCACCAAGAAGTCTTTGGTAACTTTTCATGTTTTAATGTGTGGTTGAATTTACTTGCAAAATTAATTAAAACGCAAGCAAAGGCCGGGTGGGAATTGATACAAGAGCATGCAATGGTTATGGCAAGAAGTATTGATGAAAATTTCAACCTGACTCGTAAATATATATTCGAAATTATTTGGTATTGTTCGAATTTTTTGAGTGATAACAAATAGTGTGTTTTTAAAATAATTCAAATATATAATGGGTCAAGTTAGGTTCAAATTATAATAGAAAATTCGCATAGAACTCCATTCAACCAATCGTTATATCGTGCACAAGGACGCACAATGCATTGTGCGCCCTGGTCCAAAACAACGTCGTTTTTATATGTTGTGTGGAGAGTTGACACAACGGACACCGTTCTATCCGTTTAATCCCGTTACAGTTGTTTTTTTTTTTTTTTTTTTTTAACACTTGTGTTTATGTGTATTCTGTTAAGAGTTTATGTGTATTATGTTAAAAGTTTATGTGTATGATGTCAAAAGTTTATGTGTATTATGTCAAGAGTTTATGTGTATTATGTTAAGAATTTATGTGTATTATGTTAAGAGTTTATGTGTATTATGTTAAGAGTTTATGTATTATGTTAGGAGATTGTGTATTCTACTATATAATTTTGTACATCCAAAACAAAGAATTTTTTATTTTTTTTTTTTGAAGTTAACAGCAGAAACGGGAAACGACGTCGTTTTGGCCAGGGCGGCGCACAATACATTGTGTGCCCTAGTGCACGATATAATTTACCCCATTCCAATCTTTATACCATGGACCAGGGTTTACAGTGCAATGTGGACTCTGGGTACATGTATATGTGTCTTATGTTGTGAGCTTTTGTGTCATTGTTTTAGAGAAAATTTCAATTTTGGTCCACTGACTATTGCATTTATGTTAATTGCAACACTTGACTTTCAAAAATGTTAATTTAGTATCTTGACTATGCAATTTCTATCAATTTTGGTCACGCCGGTCAAATTGCCGGCCAAATCTCACCGGAAAAACTTAAACATTTTTACATTTTTTATTCAGGGGGTCAAAACAGTCATTTTACGTTAAAAAAATTAAAAAATTATTTGCTTCTTCTTCTTCCTCAACACCTTCTGGAAGCCATCGAAGTTCAAGCGCCAAGACCGGTCGGCGGCGGTGTTGGTTTCCGACAAGAGGAGTTGCTCCTCGGAGGTGCCGTGATTGTCGAAGTTGATACTTACCGCCTCCACCATTTCAAAATCCCGGCTGAACACTACGTACGACAAGTTGAATTTCTAGTCAGTGTGAGGACGGAGCATGGCGAAGAGGAACGGGAGAATGGTAGGCAGCGTAAATCTATGTAGAATTGAGGGGCGTTGCTGGCAGAATCGAATATCGCGGAGGTTGTTGTTGACTTGTTGCAGGATGGCGGAAAGTTCTCGCCAGACCCTTTCATATTCTCGCCGGGTCCTTTTATTAAAAAGGAATTCATCGTTAATGTTGATGAGAAACAGCAACTGAACCTTACTTTCTCACCTTCTCCTTATGCCTTTGTGAATGGAATCGAAATTGTGTCCATGTCGTCTGATTTATACTTCAGAGGCGACAATAATAATTATCCGATAATAAGTGCTGTCCATTTTGATTACTCCACATCCATGGAAACTCTGTACAGGCTGAACGTTGGGGGAAGGCTCCTGGGGCCCAAAGACGACACAGGCATGTTTCGTGAATGATCTGTCGACGACAATTACATTGTCGATCCAATGTATCAAACGCCGTTTAAGGCCGTACCGGTTTATTATACTAATAAAACTCCTGCTTACAGCGCTCCTGACATAATTTACACTTCGGCGAGGGTCATGGACAAAAGTAATAGAAACGGCCTTTTTTGGCTTTTCCCTGTTGATGCCGGCGACGAGGAGGGGAAGGATGTCGGAGGAGGGGAAGGATGTCGGAGAAGAGAAGGAAGCCCAAAGGATGTTTAAATAACATGAAATGACACTTTTGTCCTTTTTATTTAAAATGTTTAAGTTTTTCCGGTGAGATTTGGCCGGCTATTTTGAGATTTGGCCGGCGTGATCAAAATTGATAGAAATTGCATTGTCAATGTACTAAATTAACATTTTTGAAAGTCAAGTGTTGCAATTAACACAAGTGCAATAGTCAGTGGACCAAAATTGAAATTTTCTCCATTGTTTTATTAAATTATGTACTTTAAGAATTTGATTTCTGTACTTGAAACAAATTAGTAATTGTGTTTTATGTTATGAATTTCTGTGTTTTGTATTATGAAATTCTGTGCATATGAACACAAATTATGTACCTAAATCAGATTTGGAAAATAAGTAAATATATAACATGTGTCTGTATCTTATATTGTGATTTTTGTGTCTTAGTGTTATAAAATTATGTAGCTTAGGACTTAGGGGGCGTTTGGTTCAGGTTATATTACATAACCAAGGGAATGTGACATTCCCGAGCTTACATTCCTGTGTTTGGTTCATATTCTCGGAGGGAATATAACATTCCCAGGGAATGAAACATTCCCTCCACATAGGATTTTGAAGGGAATGTGATTCCCTTCATTTTCTAAGGTTATGTAAGATAACCTTGGATATTTATAAATTTTGTCATTTTAATTCTATATAGTATAATATCCTTAACATATTTACATATATATATATATATATATATATATATATATATATATATATATATATATATATATATATAAGGGGTCGTTTGGTTCACGGAATGTCAGATTATCTTAGGGAATGTTAGATTGCTGGGAATATTAGATTACTGGGAATGTTAGATTACTAGGAGTATGAATTCTATACCTCGTCGTTTCAATCCAGGGTTCATAATGCTATATGAACCCTGGTCCATTATACAGAGTATAAATTATCATCTACTCCTATTTTCTACTTCATTTTCTACTCCATGATAAAATATCATCCTTTGAATGATTTAAATAACAAAGTGGGCCATTGATTTTATTCATTCATTTTTATTACCTAATAAAATTTGTACATGTGGTAGAAGTTATACTCCATATAGTACATATATCATTTTCTTTGAAAAAAAATATACACCCTCCGTCTCATTTTATATGTCGAGTTCAGTTAACGAGACTTGTGTGAAATTATTTACAATTTAGTTTTTCACAATATTAAGATTAGAATTGGTGTGTAAAAATTTATATAGTTAGAAACTAAATTAAAAGTATTATTATTTTCAAAAAAAAAAAAATTAAAAGTATTATTAAACATAAAAGAATTAAATTTAAAAATTATAAGAAAACACTAATACAAATAAACATAAAAAGAAAGAATTGATTAGATTATTGAATAGTAAAAAGGATAGATAAAATAAGACACGAGGAGTATGAATAAATCACGTAGTGGATATAATCGCTTTAACGCACCAACCTATTGCAATCTCTAGCAAGAAGTACATTGTAGGTAAAAAAAATAAAAATAAAAATAAAAAGTACAGTGTACAGTAATAAATTATGGGAGATGCGAAGAACAGCTGTTTTGCATGAATGTTGGGTGATGAAGCTCTTATGGAGACAAGTCCACAACTCAAAAATTTGAACCCACAAGTTCCCATGTCCAAACAAAAGGATATGGGAAAAGCATGGCAGCTATGCCTTTTTCATTTTCTTTTTGTTTTTGTTTTTTTGTTTTTTTTTTTTTTTTTTTTAAATTTAGGAGTTACTTGTTGAGAATGTGTATTGGGTATATAAATTCATAAACAAATAATGTTTAAATTACCTACTATTGATCAATTTAAATCAAGAAAACTAATAAATTCCATATATATTACTCCATGCATGTCCAAACAAAAGGATATGGGAAAAGCATGGCAGCTATGCTTCTGCTTTTGGTATTTTGATTCCACTCATCATTGCATGCCCTATCCATAAATAAACCCACAAAAATTAACTACTAATAATATTAATATTAATTTAAAAATTGCTCCTTAATACAAAGCACACATTAAGCTGAGGGACTAAAAGGAGGAAAAAAAAAAACAAAAGCCACCTGTATTGTCACTTGTCAGCTTCCTAAAGCTTCCTAAATCTTCTTAAATTACTACTAATACAAATTAGAGTTAATACCATCTGAGATCCTCCGAGTATAGTGATTTTGCCACGTTTAGTCCTAAACTTTCAAATTGACCATCTGTGGTCCTTCAACTTTCAAATTTAACCATTTGCGGTCCAAGTTAACCACCCATGGTCCTTCAAGTTTCAAAATTTAACCAGCTATGGTCCTCTTTAAAGGACCATGGTTGGTTAAAATTTAATACTTTAAGGACCATGGGTGGTTAACTTGGACCACGAATGATTAAATTTGAAAGTCGAAGGACCATAAATAGTCAATTTGAAAGTTTAGGACTAAACGTGGCAAAACCACTATACTCGGAGGACCTCATATGGTATTAACTCTACAAATTATTAATCTCTCTATTCTATTTTGTGAGGTACAATGATACTTAACATGATATATATATATATATATATATATATATATATATATATATATATATATATATATATATATATATATATAAAAGAGCACTCATATGTGCTCATGTCATTAGGTGTAGTCGTGTGGTTGTATCTGTGTCGTTGAATCAGTTTAATTTAACGGCAGTGGTAATTCTGAGGATTTTCGCGCGTTTTGGTAAGTGGGGGTGTTATGGTAATTACAGTGACCATTTATAGCGGGCGGGTTCCAGAATACACCAACAATGTTGACAACATACACAAATAGTGTAATAAAACACACCACAATGAAACACATCAATGGTGTATTCCCGTGTTATGGTAATTACAGTGGCCATTTATAGCGACCGGGTTCCAGAATACACCAACAGTGTTGACAACATGCACCAATATAATAGTGTAATAAAACACACGACAATGCGATTTTCCCTATTCCGGTGTTTTATGACGAGTTTACCCGTGCAGTTCGCTGGGTAGGAGAATGTACGCAAAAATACTGAAAAAATCTTGATTAATATGATTCATTGGATCTGTCTAATCTAAAGGCCTGTGACCACACCTAACAACATGGCCACATGTGATCACCTCTCTCTCTCTCTCTCTCTCTCTCTCTCTATATATATATATATATATATATATATATATATATATATATATATATATAGGGAAGGGATCAGGTGCGAAAATGGCTTCCCGTGCGGTTGGACGCACATTTAGCATTAAACTGACGCACTGTAAGTACACAATACACGCACTTTAAGTATACAATACACGCACATTAAGCACATAAACAAAGCACTTTAAAAACACAAAGCACGCACCTTAAGAACACAATCCACGCACCTTAATAACAAAACACCTTAAGAACACAAACCATGCACGCACCTAAGGTTTTAAAAATGGTTTACTTTAAGTTTCACACAACTGACACACCTTAAGCATACAAATCACGCACCTTAAGTATAAAAAATGCACATTAAGAAGGAAACTCACGCACCTAAGTTTCAGCAACTACTCACATTAAGTACAAACCCACACACCTTAAGCACAAATCCACGCACCTTAAGTACAAAACCCACGCACCTTAAGCACAAAACTGATGCACCTTAAGTTTCAACAACTACTATCATTAAGTACACAACCCAACGCACGCACCTTAAGCACAAAACTCAAGCACCTTACGCACAAGACTCACGCACCTTAATCACAAAACCACTTACCTTAATTTTGACCTAGATACAAAAATTATTAAATTGCCACCGCAATTTTTTTTTTAATTTTGGTAATCTTGGACATTGATTAAGCAGAATCAATGACTTTGTTTTAACCGCACAGCCGCATCTGGAGCTGCCCGCCGCACTTGAACATATATATATATATATATATATATATATATATATATATATATATATATATATATATATATATATATATATATATTAATCCTTCTAAAAAGATATAAATTAGACACACCTAAAAACGTAAAGTTAAAAAAAAAAAGTAATGTTATATTTTCTTTCATGATTTTTTTCTCTTTATGTGACAATATATGATTAGTTCTTTTCATATTTGATTAATAAATAGATTAATTTTAACGCAAGATGAGATTATGTTACATTGTTTGATTGATTCTTATATTATATATATAATGTTTTGATTAATAAGTATTTTTTCAGATGATGAAAGAAACTTATAGTTACTATCTGAAAGTGTACATTGAATAAATCTGTTCATTGAGCGAAGGTAAAGTATATTAGGAAGAGTTGTGCAATTGCATAACTAATAATTAAACGAAATAAAGTAGTGTTCTTCAATATTTAAGCATAAACCGACCAACCTTTGTTGTTGAGAGTGAAGGGCCAAAACTTTTGTCATAAAAGTTGGTGAAACCCATAGGTCATGGCCGGCCTTATGTAACATTGAATTCCATACATAATTCCAAAAGTTGTTCCAATGATTCTTAATCGGCGGCCATTCATTAGCCAATGCAAGGAAACATATAATTGTCGACAAACAGATCATAGAATAAGTTTTTTTCTTTTCTTTTTTTTTTTTCTTCTTCGATACATCAATAATGAAAACAAGCAAAGAAACGGTTACGTTAGCTTAGACAAGAAACAGCATATTCAACCCCTCAAATAAAAAAAACAAAAAAAAAAAAAAAAAACCCCTCAAATAAATTTTGAAACATGTTTAATTGAAACAAAAGTTTACAATAAATATGCTTGATAGAAATTGAAGTGTGTGCTTCATCTTAACTAAAAGCTTACTCTTCATGTGTGTAGGCCAATTATTTTTTGATGAGTTTCAAGTATCGAACCCATGACCAGTGGCGGAGCCACATATGAGTTGCAGGGGGACTTGCCCCTCCCCCCCTCCCCCCCCCCCCCCCCCCCCCCCCCCCCCAATCACATTTTTTCGTATTAGTATTGTAGTTCTTTTTGGCTCCCTTTACTAAATATTTGTCATTTTGCCCCCCTTCAAGCAAGCTTCTAGGATAACTTAGTGGATTGCTAATTTGCTATCTAATTAGTTTTTAAATTTGCAAATGAAATACATTGCAATTGTGCTTATTATAATAATAAATTATCATTTTGCTACCAAAATCTTTAAATTTTTACTACTTTAATCTTTGTCTATTTATTCTTTTTTTTTTTTTCATTTTAGTTAATTCAATTGATTTGTCAAAAAAATTAACATGGTGAACATTGGAAGGTTGAATTGAAATGAAAAAGACACAAAGAATTGATCTTTTCTTTAAAAGAAAGAATTATGAAGATTCAACATCTCAAGTAAATTCATTTACAAGTATTGAGCCATTGAATTCTGAAAGACGCTCTAAATTTTAGTAGATTTGTAATATAACGATGTATTTTGAAATATGTTAAATAAATATTAATGTATTTTATTATTCTCTATCAAATTGTGATTGGCTCCCCGCATCAACAAATCCTGGCTCCGCCCCTGCCCATGACCTTTGGCATAGGGTTGACTCTGATACCAAATTGAAGTATGTGACATCTCAACTAACACTACTACAATAATAGTATACTACGTCAATTGATATACGTCGAGTTTTTTTATTAACCACCGTCTAATATATTTTGTTATTATTTTTGAAAAAAATTAGATATATACGGCGGTTTATATACCTTAATTTAATTTAGTTTATTTTGTAAATAGAAGTATACAGTGGTTATATGCCTAACCGTCATATATACCAAATTTGCATTTTAATTTTTTAAATATTTAATGTATATATATACTGCAGTAGTGCAGTTATATGCCGAACCTCCGTATATACTATATGTTTTTCTTTTGTTTTTTTTTTAAAAGATATTTAGAGTATATATGGTGGTACAATAACCGCGATATATACTTTATTTGTTTAAAAAAAAATATTTATAGTATATACAGCAAGTATATGCCAACTTGCCGTATATATTATATGTTTTTTATTTTTAAAAAAAAAATATTTAAAGTATATACGACGATTATAGTATAACCACCATATACACTATATTTGTTTTTTTATTTTTTAAAATATTTATAGTATATACGGCGGTTAGTTTCGTAACCGATAACAGTACAGTTATACACTAATTGTCTTGTCATATATATACACTATAATTTTTAAAATTTTTTTATAGTATATATGACGGTTATATCAACACTGCCGTATGTTCTTCGACTGTTACATTTTTTTTTTTATATATATTATAAAAGTTAAATACATAAGACGTTGGTTCATTCGAACCGATGTCGTAGGTGTGATTTAAAGTCGATTTTAAAGAAAAAAGTGAAGTTGTAAGCACAATTATGTAAATAGTTTCGTGCCTTCACTTAAACATAAAACACCCAAATTTTTTAGACTTGGAAAAAATTTCCCTCCTGCCTTAGTCGTAGCTTGCATCCACCCAAAGCTCTCCCAAAGCATAGCCATCGCCTCGTCGTCCCAAACCCAAATCTCTCATCGCTATCGTCTACGCTCTATCCTGTTACCGTCATCCCCATCACAGCTTGTGACACCCCGTAAATCTAAATGCTAATTGAGATTAATTAAGAAATTAATCCTAGTCTTCATGGGTAATTTCTTCCTACAAATCCTGAAATTTAATAGTCGAGGGATTAGGATTTGACTAGTCTCTTAAGTCAAACAAGTGTACCTTATGCCTTATGTTTTGTACCTTTATCCTTTTGTCTTTCCAACCTTAGTAAGGGTAAAAATGACCTTTCACCCATGATTTGTTGGTCAAGCTATCCCTAGCAAGTCAGTCCATTCATTCTCTCATACTAGCCTAAGTTCCAAACATTCCATCATCTCTCTAAAAAGAACCTTGCTTATTCTTCAAACAAAAAGGATGACCTTCTAGCTTTGCAAGATCCCACCCCAAGATTTCTACTTCCTTCTTCCCAAGCATAGGAAAGGGTAAGGTTCTTAGCTATTTAGTGTTTTTAGTCATCTTTTGGGTGTCTTTATCTATGATAGAATCTTTCTTGTGCTTTGGCTTGTGTAAGAAGTTGGTGGAGGAGAGGAACTCTAAGAAGAGGCTTAGGAGGGTGCGAAGGAGAAGTTATAGTCTACAAAGGTAACCCATGCTATACAAAACCTATTTTCTATTGCTATGAATGATTATTGGCTTTTATTTGATGTTCTTGATGTGATTTGTGAGATTTCATGCATGATCTTGTGATGATGCATGTTAGAGCTTGTAATTAGGTTTCTTGAATGCCATTGCTTGGCTATTTCTTGGGTTCAAGTCATATCTTTGTTTTGTGTGAGGTTTTGGGTGTTTTGGACTTGAACTTGACCTTGATGATGAAAATCCCCGAAGGGATTCAGGTTTTGGCTTCGTGGTCCTCGTGGGTAGCAGCACGGGTAGGGCACTACCCGTGTCCCTACCCGTGAGGAACAATGATGTGCAGGGTAGGGCAGGAGCACGGGTAGGGCACTACCCGTGGTCCCAACCGCGGGGAACATCATGGTTGATTGCGGAGATTTGTTCCCCGTGATCCTTTTCTTCTTGGTATTGATGTTTTGGCCTCCCGTTGTTGAATTATTGAGCTCTTTGTGAGTCTTCTTGATGTTTCGTATATCTAGAACGATGAGTTAGGAATCCATGTTAGGATTTGGTGTCTTGTATCGTGCTAAGGGTCCAACTTTGTGATTCGTTGGACTAATATGAGTCTTGAAGGTTCGTGGAACCCTTTTGGTTTATCCGTTTGATGAGCATGCTAGTTTGATGTTGTTATGCTAGTGTGTACGGTTTGTTCCTTCTTGTTGAGGATTGACAACTCGTGTTGCCAATCATTTTGATGTTGGATTGTAGTCCTTGTTGTTGAGTATTGTCTCATGACTTTGTTGAAATCTCTTGATTGATTCTTATGGTGTGATCTTGTACAAATCGTTGTACCCTTTGTTGATACTTGATTGGGGCTATTGATAAGCCTTTGTCTTCTTGATGATGATGACTATGTGTGAATATGAATGAGATTGGGGGTTTTGTTACTTGAGTTTTGCTCACATGATCGGTGGTATGTTACTATGATTGAACTATACCCTCGTGTACTATGAGTTCGGCGGTATTGTTTGGCGGGGGACGACGGTCCCAGACCGGGAAAAGGTTGGACTCAAAAGTATAGGGTGGCACTTGGAGGTACATGTTGTAACTGAGATAAGGCCAGGGGTAGGCATAAAGGTGGTACTAAGGGATAAGGTTGGAACATATACTTGTCATTATGTGATTGTGTATTTTCCTTACTTATATGCATGTCTTTGATGAACTCTACCTTTTGAATGGTAGGTTGCATCTAGAGTTGTGTTGTCTTTTGTTGTTTGTGGTTTTGTTGTCTTGTTGAGGTTGATGATCCTCGTTCTTGTTGAGAGTGTGATGAGTCTTTGATGTTGATCTTCGTCTGGTTTTAAAATGATTATATATTGTATTCATCAGTCTCAAACGCTTTTGATTATAACTATGTATTATGCTATTTAACGCGTATTGATGGGTTACAAGCTTTATTCGCTGACCGGGTGTTATGCCTATGTTTTACAGGTTTTGCTTAGTTGGAGAGCGCGCTAGATGTGGACTCTAGTTAGCGTAGCCTTGTTTTTCCCTCTACTTAGATAGATGTGGCCTGTGTGCATTAGACAATGTGTTATGATGGATTTTGTAGACTTAGCCTGTGCACCCATAGTTTTATGGA